ACATCGATGATCACTTTTTATGTTTTCTTACCTACTGCCTCTGGAGTCCTGGTGTGGCACTGTGGGTTAATGCGGCAGACTGCAAAGCTGTTTGAACTGCAAGGTCGGTGGTGCAAGCTCACCAGTCGCTCCTCGGAAACCCTATACAGGATCGCTATGGGTCGGAACCGACTCAACGGCGCTTAACAACAATAACAACCTACTGCCTCTGTCTTTAGCATATTAGCTGCCGTTGTAGGAAGGTTCCCATCATGGACTGTGAACCCATTTTGTCTGGTTACAGATCCTATGCCCTTTTTGCCCTGCTATAGAATCCCCTGGGTAGTGTGCAATTTTCATGAGGCATAGTTTCATTTGTTGAAAGAACTTCTGACATTTATTTAATATTAGACTTTTAGATAGGATGTTGACTGATTCATATTAAATTTGCTCACATTCTTTTTAAAAAGCCTTTTTTTTCTTATTAAAAATCATGCATATGAATTTTGGAAAACTGGAAAAATATGAAGCACCAACCCTTCTTCCCATAACCCTGTCTACTCAACTGGGTCTGATAATCCATTGCAGTGGCCCCATGGAACTCAGACACCATATTCACAATTAGGGGTTAACTAGGGAACTTAACAGGTTACAATACAGAATCAGAAAATGTTCATCGGACACACCACTCCACCATAAGCCTGCCTGAAGGCACTGGGTTCTACCTCCCTGGATCAGTAACCTTAGCTCCCGCACTTCCGTCCCTGGAGGCACCTCACTCCAGAAGCCAGCTTGCTGTTCACAGTCATGCGGCTTTACTTGCTCTGTGGGCTGGAGGTCCATCGCTCTGTCTTGGGCTCTGGGTCTTGGTTCTGCTGCTCTTCCTGTGCCCCTCCTCCGGTGTCACAGCTTTCTGTCCGTGGGTCTAGGAGGTTCAATGCGCATAGATCTTAGGCCCAAAGGACAGGCTCCTCTCCTGGTTGTTCCTCGTTGATGGTAGTGAGGTTCTCCCTTCCTGCTTCGGAGCTGGCTCATTTTAGACCCATGCTAGAGTTTCACGTTTTTACAATGACAGTGAGCTCTGTTTCCATCCACAGCTGAATCCTGTCATCCCATCAGTATCTTCTCCCACCTTCTCTTACCCAGATCCAGGAGAGCAGATATGCTGTGGTGAGAGTTAGAGACTACGGCTAGAAGAGACATTCGATAATTCACTACACCACAAAAATCTAGGCAATTCCTAAGAAAAAAAGAATGCTTATAATTCCTGGCATGGTGCTGTGGGTTAATGTGCTGGTCTGCAAGGTCAGTTTGAACTGCAAGCTCGACAGTTCAGACTCACCTTTGGCTCCTCAGAAATCCTATACAGGGTTGCTGTGAGTCAGAACCAACTCAATGGCATTTAACAACAAAACATTCCGACATTATTGTTGTTCAGTGCCGTCAAGTTGGTTCCGAAGCATAGCAACTCTGTACAGGGTCTCTGAGGAGCAGCTGACCTCGCAGTTAATAGTACAGTGCTTATCCTGCAGTGCCGCACCAGGACTCACCACCATCAATAACTTATTGTTATTTCCTTCATGTAATTTTTATGCAAATGTATTTTTGATATGATACTATGTTATTGTTCTGAAGGGCCATCAAGTCGATCCCAACCCATAGCGACCCTGTATAGGGTTTCGGAGGAGCAGCTGGTGAGCTTGAACCACCGACCTTGCAGTTCAAATGGCTTTACAGTTGGTGCATTAACCCACAGAGCCACACCAGGACTCTGATATGATACTATAGGTACAGTTTTATGTTATTCCTGCTAAATGCAGTTGAGTCATTTCTGCCTCATACTAATCCTGTATAGGGTTTTTGAGGAGTAGCTTGTGAATTTGAACCACTGACCTTGAAGTTTAAACTGGACTTGTGGTCCAGAGCATTATCCATCCCACAGCACCACTTATGATTTACCTTTATATCATAGGCTTCCTACTCCATCAAGTCATATAACAAACATAATCACAGTTAATCTATTGAATACAGTTGACCTTTGAACAACATGGGTTTGAACTGCCTGAGTCCACTTATAATGTAATAAAGGAAAAAAGAAACCACTGTATGACATTTGTTATTGCTGTTGGGTGCCACCAAGTTGGTACTAACTCATAGTGACCCTTTGCACAACAGAACAAAACACTGCCTAATTCTGCGCCCAACTGTTTGTCACTATCATTGCCATGGAGCAGTTTGTCTTTCCAGTCAGTTGCCTATCACAGTAAAACGCAGTCTCTCGTGGTTCTCTCTTACTTTTAAATTTTGTTTAGTACAATGCCATAAACCTTGAATAACACTGTGGGACGCATATGAAATCCCACAAGTGAAGCTGGACGTGTTCCCTAGAAGTAGAGAAAAGTCATGATGTTGCAAGAAGTTGACTGGCTTGGTAGGTACCGAAGATTAACATCTGCAGCTGCGATAACGCATCAATTCAAGATAAACTAAGCCAGCATAAGGACCCAAAAGAGAAAGGAACATGTGTGAAGCTGTCGCTGAAGTTAGGCCCCAAATGCCCCACTGCCACCCAGTTGATTCTGACTCCTAGTGACCCTCTAAGGGTTTCCTCCAAGACTGTAAATTGTTACAGAAGTGGAGACCTTGCTCTTATGGTGTAACTGGTGGGTTTGAACTACTGACCTTGCAGTTAGTAGTCCAACGCCAAGCCCACAGTGCCACCAGGGCTCTCCTATGCCAGAAGGTGGAAAAACTGCATTTTTTTTTTTGCAAAATAGCTTTTTATCTGGTATTGAGAATGCAGCTTTTATGTTGTGCACTATGAAGTACGTATAACATACAAAATATATGTGAATTAACAGTTTATGCTAATCTGTAAAGCTTCCAGTCCACAGTAGGCTATTATTAGTTGTTAAATTTTGGGTGAGTCAAAGTTACATGCACATTTTTGACTGCATGGAGGGGTGGGGGGTCCGTGTTCATAACTCTTATGTTATTTAAAGGAATATATTCTTTACATTTATATTCACATTTGGATCCTGAAATACAAGCTAGACCTGAAAAGGTGGCGTTCATGATGTAACTGTTGTTAGGTACCATCGAGTTGGTTCATAGCGTCTGTATGCACAATGGAACGAAACACTGCCTGGTCCTGGGCCATCCTCACAATAGTTACGCTTGAGCCCATTGCTGATGCTGGTAGTGTAGGGTCAGGAAATGGTACATCCCTTCTTGGAAGCTGGCTGTGGGCCCATTTTATAGGTTTAGATCAGGAGCAGGGAGATTTGCAAACATTAAGAACCAAAGCTGTTGTTGAAAGCATTTACTGTTAATTCTCAACTAGAAGGAAGATCCTTAGCAATGGTTCAGTGCAACGAACTGAATAGATTGGTGCTAGACTGCTTTCCCTCAAAGACCTCACGTAGCTACCTTGGATAGTCTTCAGAAAATATATGGTTCAGAAAGCACCCAGGGCAGTGCGTGTTCTGGGTCAAAGTGAGAATTTTGGGTTAGGCCTAATTGGTTCTAGTGAATTGCTCTAGTGGATACTCTGATTGAAAGAATGCTGGGCTAACCTGACATGTTTGGGGTTAAGGGATCATCTGCAATAGAACTAGACCCCCGAAGAGGCCACTGACAGAAGAGACTCCTGGGTGGGGTAAGAGGGCTGTGGAGCCAGCTGTTCAAGGTTGGCAAGGGAAGGCCTAACAAGTTGATGGAATTGGAGGAAAAAAATATTCTCAATTTTCCAATCAAGATCAGCTCAGCTATTCTCATGTTTGTTTCTTTACCAAGGTTCCAAAGCCTTCGCAGATTGGTACAAATATAAATGAATGATGTCCAAACTCAACGGAGTGTCCAGTCTTATCTGGAAAGGTTAATGAGTCAACTCTGCTTACCGCGCATCATTGGGTTTTATGGCTACTTCTAGAGTTGGCTTTTCCTGGGAGAGTATTCCCAGTCTCTCCATTGCTCTTTGCTTCTCAGCAACATTACTGAAAGGAATATCCAGATGTTATTTTCTGAAGTCTGATGAAGTTTATTTATGACATCAAGTTAAATTTAAGTTAGTGCTTAGTATATACTGAAAAAGTCTTTGGATTGC